AATTTAGTTTTTCTATTAATTGAATGGTGTAACTTATGTTCCAATCAACTTGTAATGTTTGTATAAATGTCTTGGAGGCACCCTAATCAATGTTAATGAAAATATTCACACCCTCAATAATCTCTCTCTAATTCTCCTCTATCTCTCTCTCAGTCTTCATGTTCAAACCCTCCATTTTCACAAATCAAGTGATTCTGAGTTCCAACATTTAGCATCAAGAGTGTGGTTCGTTCCACTAAACACCTAGTGTGCAACATGAATTCTGTCTCGAATGAAAGAATCCCACAAACCTATCAATCTTTGATATGAAGAATTATGATAATTAGTGCAAATTAATGAAAGTATTGTTTGGCTACCAAGATATTCTTGAAGTGATCAAGAACAGGGTAAGTCCTCTTGTCAGAGGTGTAACAGATGCACGTTGAGAAACACATAATGAAAAGATGAAGAAAGATTACAAAATGTTGTTTTGATCTATCAATATGTGGATGGTGATAACTTTGAGAATATTAGTGATTGCGAATAGTCAAAGAAGGCGCTGGAAATTTTGGAAAAGGAATATGCAGGGGCTGACAAGGCGAAGGTGGTGAGGTTACAAACTCGCAAACGTCAACTCAAATTAATTCAAATGGAGGAAAAGGAGACAATAACGATTATGTGATGAGAATTACTTGGTTGGTGAACCAAGTATACACATGTCAAGAAATTATTACGAAGCAGAATGTGTGAGTGCAATATCCTTTTCTTAGATGTTTTGAATGATGTCAAAACTAGGAAATATATAGTATTTGTACATTGGATGTTATCTCTCTATGTCTAGGTTACATTTTCATGTTAGGACACATAGGGATCGTGTCAAAAGCTATTGGGTGAGTCAAACACTTCAAAAATATGCATTTTGCTGAAAAATTAAGTTTGGAGTCGACTCCCCCATGTTAGGAGTCGGCTCCCTTTGAAGCTTTTTTAAAAATGAACCCTCAGTTAAAAATGAGTCGACTCCCTGGTCATTTGGATTCGATACATTACACGAAGGAGTCGACTCCCATGTGTATGTCTCTACTCCTACTGAAATTTATTTTCAAAAATTAATTATGTCTAATTGGAGTCGACTCCCAGGCTGTGTGGGTCGACTCCCTTGCCCTTAGGAGTCGAATCCCACTCCCAATGGGTCGACTCCTAATGATCAAATTGTCCAAATTTGTCATTTTGCAACCATATTTTCTTTGTCTCGTTCATTCACACACTTACAAATATATATAGTAATTCATGCATCTTTTCTAAAACACGAAACCACAAATATACAAAGAAATTTCTCACCATCTTCATACTTTCTCTATGCATACACACAAACAAGTTACACATAATATTTTTTTGTTTAGGTCCCATCTAGAGATAGCTTGATAACGTCCAATTAGGGTTAATTGTAATCGATTGGTTTGAGAATTCTTCGGAGGTTTCAAATAAGAAAACCAAGGTGGGGTTTTTCATCAAGATCAATTAGAAATTTGAAGGTTTTGGACAAGATTATGAAATTTAGATTCAGCAGAGTGAAAGCTTTGAAGAACAGTGGGTCGATCGAAGAACTAAAGCATGGCGAAGGATCAAATTGGTAAATCTTGGGGTCACGATACGTTCATGATTTGGATTCAATCGAGTGAAGTCTTTGAAGAACGAGGGTTCTTGCAAAGGAGTAACATGATACGGAGGATCAAATTGTAAGCATTAGGCTCACTTGATTGAGCTCATGATTAATGGGAGAGAAGAAGATAAAATCAACAACATACATAGGGTTTTTCTTGTTGGATTTCTACTTATTCTCTTGTATTAACATTTTGCAAAAGTTAATTTTCATTATCTCAATTCCAAACAAAATTGGGGGTAGACATACATATAGCGAGGCCGATTAGGGAACTGCCTAAACAAATCCTTGTATCACTCTCTTTCTCTCTTACTCTCTACTTTACGTTTTATTGCAAATTGTGAAAACTTCTATTGTGTGATCGATACATCGAGATAATCTCTTAGGTTAATACCATAAACTATTTTGTTGATTTGATTACAATCCTTGCGATTGTAATTGGTTTTTAACATCAACAAAATAAAATAATTGGTTTTGTGTTGATTTCACTTCAAGTGTTCGACGAATTGCCTTAGTTAATTTTTGTCGATTTTTTCATTGGAAATTGATTTCTACAGTGTGGTTTATTCAACGTTGGTTTGCTGGAAATTTATTGGTTGTTTTTGTCATCATACGTAAACTAGTTCCATTAGTTTAACGCATATCTGGTATTTTCGACAACGGTTCAGATAGAAGATTGTCAATTCGGGTTTGTTTTTGTGCGCCATAGTTTAAAACATTTTAAAACAGAATTTTAATTTGAAAATTTCATTTGCGGTCTATTCAACCCCCTTATAGATCATAGCTTATCGTCTAACAAGTGGTATCACGAGCTCCGGTTCATTCCCTGCTTTGAAATTACTTTTTAGATAATGGATTAGAACCAAAAGGGGTGTATAATAGAGTGCATATTTTCAATGGTAAAAACTATGATTATTGGAAAGATTGTATGTATATCCATCTTAATTACGAAGAAAGGAAAGTGTGAAAAGCTATCTAAGATGGACTTTTCAAATTACTATGACCAATAAGGTCGGCGCTCCTATACCTAAATCAGAAGCACAATGGGACGTGAATGAGGAGAAATTATGATCGTATGATTGGAAAGCAAGGATTTGTCGTATCTGCTTTAGGTGTCGATGAATATTATTGTGTTTCTCATTGTACAACTTCTAGAGTTGTGTGGGATGCATTGCAAGTTCCCATGAGGGAACCAATAAAGTCAAACAAGTTAGGGCCAATACTTTAAATCAAGAGTTTGAACTCTATCATATGAAGCATGGTGAAACCATTACCGATATGCAAAAGAGGTTCTCTCGTCTTGTAAACCGCTTGAATGCACTAGGATAGCCAATATCTAATGAAATTGCTACTAACAAATTGTTGAGATGTCTTAATAGGGATTGGAAACTAAAGGTTACCGCAATCAAGGATTCCCTTAAGAAAATATGAGAATAACAAATAAAAATCAAGGAGTTCATGCTATAATTGTGAAGGGTCGGTCACTATAAACCGAATTGTCTATTCATTAAAAAAGATAAGGAAAAGGATCAAAACAAGAAGTCTAGTAATCCTAGAAGAGCTTACATTGCTTGAGAAAGTGATGATGAATCCTCTAGTGATTATAGCTAAGTGATGATGATGAATTGCCAATTTTTTTAACTCTCGGCTTATTATAAGAAGAAGAGTTCTAGCAAACCTAGAAGAAAACACTCAATTAATGATGGTAGGATGACAAACCTTTTCCTCATGACTCATCAAAAGAAAAAGAAAGTGAGTTACCCTAAACATGAATCTTTTGATAATATGTCTTATTCTGAATTGCAAGTTGCTTTTGAAAATCTACATGGTGAAGTCATAGATGCTTTTAAGAGGTTAGCTCCAAATAAAAGAATTGTTTTCATACCTTGAAGCTAAAGTTTTAGAAACTGAAAATAAATGGAAGCTCTTAAGCAATCCATGTTAAATATTACAAAAGATAAAAATGATGGTGAGAAGCCTTCTTGGTTTGGTTGTGAAACATGTCATATTTGGAAAAAAGAGGTAATATCTCTAAAAACCAAATTGAACGAGGCTTTAGAACCAAAGATTACTTTTCCTATTGATCCTATAAAATTTAAAAAGGATTTAAATCCTCTATACAAAAAGTATTATTTTGTTGAAAAAGAATCAAATAGAAAAATTTCCTCTCACCATCATTTGTCTTGTCACTACTGCTTCAAGAAAGGTCACTCCATTCCAAAATGGAAATCTAGGAGATTTCTTGTTCCTAAAGGTGCTTTTCAATGGTAGCCTAAATGCAAGATAATTTCCACTCACCCTCAAGGACCCAATTAAAATTAGGTACCTAACACTCTTAATTGATTTTGTAGGATAAATATCTTGGATCCATGGAAAGAATATAGGTTCTTAATAGTGGATGTTCAAGGCATGATATGGATAACATTTCCCTTATTCATTGACTTTGCGACAATGACGAAGGGGTTTGTAACCTATAAAGAAAAAACAAGAGTGCCATACTTTGTAAAGGTAATATAGGTAAATCCCTCTTCTACTACTACATGTATTGTTACTTATTATTGAAAAGTCTGTGTTTATCGTTTGTAATAAAGTTTGTCTTAGAAAAGTCAAGAAAGGTATTTATTTTCATGATGCATGTATATCTTAAGAATACATACTCAAAGACACCAAAGAAGGAACTGATCAGCCTAAAATGGTGAAACTTGAGGAGGAGAAAGATGGTCCTAAATGTGAAAATGGTATCAAATCGACAATGCTCTTGGAGACATCAATCCAAGTTGGACACACTCTTTAAGATTGCTCTAAGAAGGGTTATTTATGTGACAAACAATGCACTATTAAAAATGATTGATGCAAAGTCTCTTGATAAATCAATGCCCATAAATGGGAACTTTGGCAAAGATAAATGAGTTTGATACGTTGAAGTATACAAGTTTTATGGCATTCCTTACAGCTATTTCACCTTTCGTTTGAAAGTTCCTCGTTTTGTAAGTCCTTTTCTTTGTCTTTTGTATGGGGAGGTAATATCGTTTCACTTATGTCTTTGCTAGTAAGATTTTATTTCATGCATTTTTTTATCTATATCACTTGCAATTTGATTTTGTGTTTATGTGATGTGGTTGATGTATGATGCAATCCCATAACTGTTCACTTCCAAAAATTTCTTTGACAACCCATGTGTGTTTTCAATCTATATGCTTATAGTGACGTTATGTTTTACTCTTTTGCACTTCATCCTGTGCGTTTCATAAAGTATATTATTCAAATTGAATTAATTGGTTTTGCTTTGTTGGTAGTGTTTGTTATTTATCTTTATTACACGAAATCAACATTTATTTTTGCATAAAATTGACAATTTCCAATGTGTGTGTCTATCCAAAACCTTATAGTCTTGTATGTCAAGATTTTTTGTGTATTTCACTTTTAGACAACTTGGGTCATATCCAAACTAGCATGAGTCTACACATTTTTCATAAAAATTTGTATTTTTCAAAATTCACTCAGAAGGATTCGACTCCCTCGTTGTTATGGGTCGACTCACTCATGATTTTAGACTCATTTTATGTTTTGATTCAGTAGGAGTCGAATCCTCCAGTTTATGGGTTGACTCCTCCGTAAATCTCCAAGTGCCAAAGCCCTCTGTCCAAATTGAGTCGACTCCCTCGAAGTTATGTGTCGACTCCTTCACTTGAAATTGTGAAAATTCTTTCACTTAATACCCTAGGATTCAATACATTCATTTCAAAACTCACCAAACACTCTCTTCTTTCTCCCAACTGAAATTCAACTCTTCAACCCTATTACCAAATCATCAAATCTCTTCATTTTTTTATCAGCCATCAAACTATACCAGAAAAAAGTATGCGGATGGGCCAAGGCTGCTTTTTGTTCACAAACTAATCCAAGTTGCAAAAAACGTGTAATGGACCTAGATCAGTCCAGATCCCATGAACAATCCAGCAATTCTTTAATCAGCTATTATCATTTTTTATTATAAAAAATGGCTGAACAAAATAAATGAAAATTTAAAGGGAACGATGTAAGTTGAGAAGGGAATTACGGTTAAGAAAAGTGTCCATTGAGCTTCTTTCAGACTCAGAACCTTCCATCTCTCAAAGCGCTGCAGCCGCTTTCTTCTTCTCCGACACGAATAAACAGCGCGGTGGCTCTTCTCTTCCTCTGATCATTCATCGCTACCACCATTCATCGACTCAATATTACCTCTCATCTCCCTTACCTCGTATCTCTCCTTCCTCCAACATCTTCATCTCGTCAACAGTAGTGGCGCTCAACCTTCGATTCTCCACCCTCTTCAAGCTCCGCTCACACATCTTCATCTCTTTTTTATTTCAAGTTTCCTTTCTTTCATCTCATCTCCGATTCAACCTTCCGCCGCTCATCTTTGGATCAATCCTTCTCAATTTCAGATTTAAACTTGCTTCTCATCTCCGTATCAATCCTTCTCAGTTTCAGATTCAAACTCGCTTCTCATCTTCGTATCAATTATATGAACACATATGGAACGACAGGATGCTAAAAAGAAAGAGAGAAAATCAAGACTCACCAGTGGAGTTCGTCCGATGCGTCTTCGGCGGCGGAAACAGCTCACTACTATCGCATTGCTTCTTGTTAATTCTTATTTACGATTTGCTTTTGTGTGTTGATGATTTCTCTTCGAATTATGAACGACTGTTGAAGGTCGACGCAGAATACTGAAGTAGAAGGTGGATAAGGTGCGAGAAGGCTGAGGCTATAGAACCAGAATGGTGACGATGAAGAGGAAGATTAGAGATGTTGGTGAATGAATATGATGATGCAAGATTTAAGAATCTGCGTAATTTTCAGAGAGAGTGCAGTGAAGTTTTTTCTGAATATTTCTTGGTGAGTTTTTGGTGATTCTTCTCTGTTTTCTGCGTAATGAATCCTCTCCCAATATTTTGAAGAAAATTCTGATATATAGCAGTTAAAGTTGGTACAGGTGAACAAATCTGAGCCCTTAACTCTCAGCATCCCTTAGAGCAATGAATCATAGGGACTCAATCTGTTTTGCCTTGTGATTTTATGTTATGGATTTTGCAGTTAGTTTGGCAATTCTGTTATGACAATTATGAATTTAGTTGAAAAATCAGTTAAACTTGTTATAGTTATTTCTGATTTATTTTTTTGAGTTTCACTCTCCCTCCCTGACTTCTATTTATCTCAGCTTGGTTATGAATTTTCCTGTTAACTCTTGCTCTCAAAGTCTATGAGTTATTTGTTGATACATTTTATTTTCCTGATTCATTTTTTCCTCTTTGCATTTTTTAGTGAATTTTGAATTGAGGTCTGGCTTGTATTTTGTGCAGAGCTATTCATTTGTTCTGATCTTCTTCTGTTAGCCTCCAGTTCTTCGGGCAAAGCAGGTTTTTTTATTGATGTGTGCAGGATGTTATAAGCCAGTTTGGACACGGTTTTGAACATGACTACTTGAGAGAGATTTTGGCGCACATTTTCTGTGGAATGCCACTGTACACGGATGAAGAAGTTTTAAAGCACAAGGCATCATGCATGAAGCTTGAAGATTAGGGTTAATAGATATTAAGATCACAAATTTTATGTAGCTTTCCTAATGTAATTTCTATATACTTGTCCTTGGAATTTTTGTAACGAGATATAGCTTTGTATGTAACTTGAACTTTTAGTGACTTGGATCGATTTTGATTGTACTTTTTTGACAGCTTGAAAATGAATTCATATGAAACAATGATCCCTTGAGATTATGAGCTTGAAATATCATTATTTAAATCACAAACCTACCACTTTATATATTTCTCTGCACCAAAACAAACACGCAGTATCATTATTTGCAACACATGAATTAAACTTCATAGTTTCCAAGAAAATTGGAAGTAATATTTTGTAGTTTAAAGATCCAGCATGTTTAATTAACTTTGTTCATGGACGATGATTCAAAACTACTGTAATCTTGAATAATGCTTGAAATGATGAAAACCACATGAACTGTTCAATCTAGTTTGAATTAATTCGAGAATAAAATATGCACCATAGTACGTGTGAATTCTAGCATCAATATTCCATGAGTGCATGAAACAAATACATGTCATCTGACAAACGAAACCTAGTCTCAAATTGAATCACAAATTTCCAGAAGCAACCAAGTTCCTTTTGAAAATACGAGATAAATGAGCTCCTCACCCATAGCCCAACTAACAAGACATATCTTGACTTGATGAAAACTTAAGGCAATCCTTAATCAATTGACAAGTAATGTCACAAGAAATAAATCTCTTGATTAAATCCTCAAAACTTCTTGAAAGGAAAGAGAAAGCTATTAGGAGAGACCCTAAATGTTGATGACAATTTTTCAATGAGGATAGGATGATGATCCTTGTAGCCTTGATGAGAAAACCAAGTAAAAATAAGAATCATTATTTCAACCAACACCAATGCTCAGGCATGACATAGAAGAAAACCATAATTCTTTGGCTCTAGATGCACGCTGATGAGGAGATGACTTGAGGTACTAAGAGGAATCAAAACCATGGCTTCAGAACATTCTCGATGATGAAATCTTGAGCACATGGTAAACCCTAAAGAACTTTTTTCTCGGAGAAATTCTGATGAAGACGACCTTATATCTCGAGGAACCCTGCTAGTGAAGATGTATATGATGCTTGTGATCCAAAACCCTAGTTTTATACCAAGAATGATGAGAGCACCAGTTGAATAAACTTTGAGTAAGGTAGAAACCTCAATTCATAGGGAAAAACCCTAATTCCAAGAGCCTCTTTTGATCATGTAACCATGGAATCGATGATATGCATGAGATGTATATGATGTGACGAGGGATCTTAGGGACACAAATTGGGGTATAACATGTTCGAACTTGGAATCTGCTGAGAAAATGTAGCCAATTCAAATTTTGAAATTTTGGCGCTGAACTCGTCATGATACGTAAAAATTGAGCGAGTTATGAATTTTTGAATATCGGAAATCAATTCGACTAAATTCCGGTTCAACTCAAATATCTCTTCAGAAACTCAAAATTCCCGCTACTTTCCTTGTAGAATCAGCTCTTGGCCATAAAAGACAGCATCAAGAGGACGTCAAGATGGAATTCTGGGCACTAGAATCATGCTCATAAGATTCTCCATCCGGGAGTTATGAATTTTTCAGTGCGCCTGAGGCGACGGTTCAACCAGTTTTTTATCTATATTTTCCAATGTTTAACTCTAATGGATTCACGTATTCGGAGACCTTCCTTCGAGAATTAGCCTTCGGCCCGAACACGAAAGTTGAAGAGGACAAGAAGACGGATTTAATGACGAAAGAACCACCTCAAGACAGTATACCAAATCGGAGTTATAAATTTTTGAACGCCAGAAATACTGTTGATCGGTAACTCGAAAACTTAGTAACAAAATTATTTGACCGTCTTCAGCGCATAATTGGCTCCCGGCCCGAATACGAAAAGTGAAGATAATAGGAATACAAACCTAGTGATCAAATTTCAGCTCACAATGATACCCTAGCCTGGAGTTATAAAATTCTGAAATTTGCCGCATCGAAACGAACTTTCAGCTTGAACTGTCCCGAATCAAACGAAACCTCTGGCATCCCTCTACCACTCAAGACATGATAGAATACACATGAACTATTCATGGTAAGAAATCGCTCATTCACTGACTGGATTACCTGTATAAAGCTTTGAACACCTCCGATGAGTAGTCAATGCCTTATAGAAATGCCTTGATCCTACGATAATAAGGTTAATGATATGCATATATGTATGTGATAATGAAACATAAGCCAACGTGAAAAGGGTAAATTTTGGGGTATAACAGACAACCCGAAAATTGTCACTATGCTTGAAAATACACGCCTTCAACAGCAACTGCACCATCAAGAGAACTCTCTCAGGTGGGATACATTTGAAGCAACTCAGGATGCTCGGTCACGTTCGGTCCAGGAGCATCTAAACACTAAAATCAATAACCTTGAGATGTGTGTTAGAAAAGAATTTACTGATGTCCGTAATGCAATGGAAAACAACCACGAATCTACTCGATATGGATTAAATACCATAATTAATGAGTCAAATGGTAATCACAATCACTACAATATATTCTACCATGAGATGTTTGATATTCTATATAGGCAATATGGAAATGGGGAAGTGGCGTGGTTTAGGGATAAGTTGTAACACCCCATTTCTACGTGGCGGATAATAAGAAAATCAGAGTTCAACATATATAGGATGCTACATTTTCAACTTAAAATCAAACTTCATTTAATCGCATATAAAACAGATACATAACACTTAATTCTGATGAATCGATAACAACCTAATTTATTTAAAATCAAACAACTTTTTATTGATAAGCAGCAGAATCTACATGCTTAACTTCAATTCACTTAACATCTTTTATTCAACTAAAGACAACAATTATTTCATGTAACCACCTTAAAAATTCAAAAACTAAAATAATAATCAACAACTAAACATCAAGCGTTCATCCCTCCCGAGTGCTACGTATCAGAGCGACAACACCGACTCGAACTGACGAAGATAACAACTATTCTATCTTTACCACAACTCAAGATGCAACATCACATGCGACTCAATTACAATGCACATGCATGTGGTACCATTGGAGCAGAACTGCCATCTTAAAAACGGAGCAGAACTCCCAACTTTGAAATGGAGCATAACTCTCATCTTAAAAATGGAGCAGAACTCCCAACTTAGAAACGGAGCAGAACTCTCATCTTAAATTTTTTCTAATAAGTAGAGGCATCAACAAGGCATAAGCCTTCTTCGCAGTTTTCCAATTCAGGCCATCATAGAGTATGCAAATGTATGTGACTCAATGAATGCACTATCACATACTCACAACAATCATCATCCATCGTAAGGCATAAGCCCACATCACCATTATTACCAGTAAATAGAGGTAATTTATCATCATTTGAAATTCCCTGCAACTTCGCATTACCAACAAAGATTCACAACAACTTAACAACAATTCAACACTGGCCATATGCCTACAACTTAGTATTATTTCAACACTGGCCATAGGCCTACAACTTGATATTTCAACAACAACAATGAACACATCAACAATAGTAATCCAACAACAACATCAATAATAAAACAACATTGGCTATAAGCCTAACAATTTAATACCTTCTACAATTCATATTTTTCAGCAAAGTATTCAACACATTGTATTGACTAAAATATACAACAATTGTTCCGTATAGTTATTCGGGTAAATCGACTAAATCCTGCTAATTAATTACCGGCTAAACGTTCCATTATTTCTACTTTATACTAATATTCCTTATTAGTTTTCTGACAACTTAATACGACACTGCTATCCAATTAATAAATTATTATTAGTTACTACATTGTTCTTCTATCAATTTTTTCTACTAATTACTTCTACCGGTAATTCTTTGCTAAATTACTGCATCTGTTATTAATATACTACTCTGCTAAATTAATTGAACCATCCTCTGCTACTTAGCATCTTTGTGCAAATTTAATTTCTGGAACACCATTGTTATTAACTCTGCTGCTACTACTTCTCTAGATACCAACTAAGTGTTAATCTAACAACTACCTCTGCTAGGTACCAACAAATCAGCTACTTGGTTTAAATTAATCTAATGGGATACTACTATAATTAATTAAGTAATTCTGCAACTTATTA